GATTCAAAGGCTAGAAACTATCGAGATGGAAATCAAATTTTTCTTTTTTTAGTGACAAATCACGTTTTGATTGTAAGCTTCTCTCTTATTTTTAGAAATTGGAATTTATGATATTTATACTAATCAGAATTTGCAATATCAACGTATCTGTTGAGGACACATGCTAAAATATACATGCTCAGGTTTTCAAGGCCGTATAAAGTTTTCTCCTTTAAATTCGCAACTGTATTTAAAGATGAAATTTTTTTTCTTACCAAAAATTTTAACAAACTTTAGTTTTTACTTAGCAAAAGTACGAACTTGATCAATAATAAAAATTTCAAAAAATCGGCTTCCAACTGATAAAAATCAATTAATCGTTAGCTTTTTAAATAAGTAATAGCAGCTAGATATGATACAATTCAAATTTGCTATCAATTAATTTTTCTATTAAAAATAATATGTTTTATAAAATTTCACATTATCCCCATTATAATTTGTACCCTGATAAAAATTTTCACTTGAGTTAAGATGATCAAACGCTTCAGAATGATATTCTTTGTTCAAGAACTTTTCTCTTAAGCGGTTACATGGGTTTCACGGTTTCAAAAAATCGATTTTTTTTGTCATTAAATTCTACAACATCTCTAGAATATTGTCCTAAAGCTTCAAATCGATCCGAATAATAGTTTCGTAGATATATAATACAGTTTTATAAAGTTGCGCGCTCAAAGCGCTGTTGTATTGTCACTCAAAACTTAAAACGCTTTTTTCTCAAAACTATGTTTTCAAAAACGGTACCCAAGATTTCTTGAGAACTCCTCAACCGATCTTGATGAAATTTTAGACAGGTCTTCGAGATATAATTTACAAGGTCTTGAACGAAGAATTTTTTTTTTCAATTACAAAAATTACAAAAATTCAATTTTTATTTTTTTTTCCTTCGCTCAAGACCTAGTTTGAAGTCTTAACTAAAACACAATTTTTTTTTTCACTTCTGATGATCCTGCTAGGAGTTCTGCTGATCACGCAGACGCATCTTTTTTCCGAGGGCTTGCCGGAAATGACGTTACATTAGTTTTTAATATTTTTTTTTTTTAATTTCAGTAACCCCTTATTAAACATATATCTTTAAGACAGTAAAAAGTTTGAATAAAATATTTCATTTTTTGTATTAAAAAAAAAATTTTGAAAATAGGCTATTTTTTCCCGGAGGAAACCCCTGTAACCCCTTAAATCAAATTAATTTTTTTATCAATGTAGGTTTTATAAAAATTTATGATGCATGCATTTAGATTTTATAATCTTCAATTTTATAATTTTCAATTCGTAACCTCAGTTTTAATAAGGAAACACTCATCACAACAATTCATTATTATATCTTTTTAAGTTGAAAATATTGTTGTCTAACCTTGAATAGTATAAAATAAATTTTAAAACAGAATACGGCGAATACAATGATACATTTACCGATCTTTGTTAGCGTGAAATGTATCTTGAAAAATTATATTTCGAGGTTTGGTCCGCTGAATGGGACAAATGATGCGAAAAACAATGTGTGCTAGAAAGATAATAAAAAACCATTGTTTTATGAAAGCCGGAGATATAAATAGAAGAAAGTTATCTTTTCCTATTCTCTGTTCTATTTTTCTTCTTTTCTTACCCTGATTTTTTTTTTACAATATCAATAATTCAGAAAATATTCCAAATTATTACCTTTCCTATTTTTTTTATTCTATCAAAAAAAAAAAAAAAAAAAAAAAAACAGTCAACTCTGAGAGAAAAAATTTATTTTGAAAAAAATAAGCAATGTTATAATCTGTATAATTAAACGAATAAGAAAAATTTTGTATCCGTATTTATGGGATAAAATGAGTTTTTTAAATTAAATTTAGTATCATTTGATAGTTCTTGACCTGAATTTGTGGTTTTTCAATGTTTCACTTCCTTTTCAGCAATAGTTAATTTATTAGCATAATTTTTTAAAATTGTTTGTAATTGATCCTGTGAGAGCGGTATTATTTTAAAAATTTATTTGAAAAGTACCCAAACTACGTATAGTGTGATTAGAACGATCAAAAAATCATTAAGGAGGTTCGAGCTAATCTAATGTTAAAAATAATTTCCAACTTTGAGTTTTGAAATTAAGTATACATATAAATAAATAAGTTATTTATCTAATCCCAAAATTTTAAAAAGATTCACCGTTTAGTTACTTAGATATTAAATTTCAAAAATCAAATTTTTTATCTCCTTATACACGGGCTCTTATGACGGACAAGCTTTAGTCGAGACTTTAATTATTTTTTTCAATATTAATCTCCCAACTTTAAAGAATAAAAAACTATACTCAAGAAACTTGGATTATTGTAAAATATAAAAAAAAATTTAATAAGAATGCATTACCGGTATAATTTTAGAAATATTTAAAGTTAAATTTTATGTTTTTAACTCGTTTATCGTCAGCCATTTATTCGAATAAAGATTTGGCAACGTCGCGTCAACATCTGAGAAAAAAGAAAAGGATAGAAATATAGTTACAGATAGAGAAATATTTAACTCATACACTCATCCACGTCTCTGTAATGGGTATAATCAAACGTGCTGTTGCCAAATCTGTTTATTTAATCCGGCAAGTAATAAATACGAAAGTCATTTTATTACTTTATTTTATTAAGTAAGTAAAAATCATCAATTTTTAAATTGTTCAAATTATTTTAAATTAAGATAAAAAATTTTGACGAATATTGGGAAGACTGAAAGTAAATAAAAATTTTAACATTATTTTGATTCATAAGTTACGCTCGAACCTCCTTAAAATTTTTTTTTATCAATAAAGTTGTTAGTAAAAAATAAAATTGTTTAAAATTTTCAACAAATAAATTTCTTTTCACAACAATGCCCATTTTTTCAAAAGAAATTTTTCTCTCAGTGTAGTTTCAATTGATCGTGCAGTATCGCACGTCAATTCGACGTAAAGTAGCTGGAGAATTATTTAAACGTGTCACGTAAAGAAAAGAAGTTTTTTAAAAGCGACATTGACGCACGATAAATTACGATCATTTATTACTTTTTTTCTGCCATACAAAACGATCAACATTTCACAATTTCTTCTTTTGTTATAATTTATACCCGCAAATGCTCTATTGTGATGATCTGATGATAGATAAGCGCAAACAAAAATTGGCTAAAATGATGCCGCAAGTTTTATTCAATCTAAATCGCTGCCCGGAAACTAAATCTCACTCTATATTTTTCATATATTACCTACTATACTATACCATAAAGTTTGAAATTTAAATATCTGAAGCTGGAACAAGCAACTGAAAATCAATATCGAGTAAAAACAACATCCAAGTTACCAAGAATATATATATTCTTACGAATACATATTGTTTTGATAAAGTTAAATTTACGCGAAACTAATCTAGTAGATTCACTACAGTAATGAAATAGATTCATTCCATCTGCAGTTTGAAATTGAATTATAAGTGGCTAAATAAGTACCGAAACTCTCAGAGTAGATATTGTTAGAATTTCCTGATTAAACCATAACATTGAGATGCAATTTACGGCGTTCAATCCAGTTTTTGAGGTTGAGAGCTTATTAGATTTCGTAATTGATTGGTATAGTAGTTTGAGAGTTATTTCAAGAATAAATTTGTTTGAAAATTTTATTTTTGAGATTTAAAAAAATTTTTTAGATTTATGAAATATTTTTGAGATTTTTCAAATTTTTAGGAAATTTAAGTTTGAAGAACTTTTTTAAAATACTGCAATATGTGTTTTGATTGGTCAAATCGCTTATGAATGATAAGAAATTTAAACAGATATAAATTTTGAAAATTGGACTAAAATCAATAATTTATAAGTTTTCGGAAATTTGACTTAGATTGATATTTTTAAAATTTCGGACTAAATTCAAAACTTTCCAGTTTTATTTAATTTGACCAAAATCAATATTTTTCAAATTTTTTAAATTTCTATCAAAATCAACAAATATCAAATTTTTTTGAATTTTACAAAAATTATTTTTTTTTCAATTTTTGAAAATTTAACGAAAAATTAATTTTGAAAGTTGGACCACAATTAAAGATTTCCAAATTTTTTTTAATTGGACTAAAATCAATAATTTTGAATTTTTTTAATTTCGGCAAAAATTTAAATGATCAAAATTCGGCTAAGTTAAATATTTTTTCAATTTTTGATAATTAAACTAAAATCAATAATTTATAAATTTTTGGAAATTTGACTTAAATTAATATTTTTCAAATTTTGGAAATTTCTGTCAAAATCAACAAATTTCAAATTTTTTTTTAAATTTTACAAAAATAATATTTTTTTTCAATTATTGAAAATTTAACGAAACAATAATTTCGAAATTTTGACTAAAATTAATGATTTCCAAATTTTTGAAAATTGGACTAATCAATTTTTAAAATTTTACTAAAATCAATAATGTCGAATTTTTTTAAATTTTGCAAAAATTGAAACTTCTAAAATTCGGCTAAATTAAATTTGTTTTATAATTTTTGAAAATTAAACTAAAATCAATAATTCATAAATTTTTAGAAATTTGATTTAAATAAATATTTTTTCTAATTTCGGCCCAAATCCAAAACTTTCCAATTTTATTTAATTGGACTAAAATAAATATTTTTCAAATTTTTTGAATTTCTGTCAAAATCAACAAAGTTCAATTTTTTTTTAATTCTACTAAAATTAATATTTTTTTTTTTTCAATTTTTGAAAATTTAACGAAACAATAATTTCGAAATTTTGATTAAAATTAATGATTTCCAAAATTTTGAAAATTTAACTAAAATCAATAATTTTTAATTTCGACAAAAATTGAAATTCTCAAAATTCGGCTAAATTCAATATTTCTTTAATTTTTGAAAATTGAACTAAAATCAATAATTTTTCAATTTTTGAAATTCGGATTGAAATGAATAACTTTCCAATTTTTCAGAATCATTAAATTTCGAAGAAAAAAAAACTAAGTAAATAAACAAAACACCTACCTCAGCACCAAGTCCAAATCGATACCCATCAGCAAATCTGGTGCTCGCATTATGAAAAACACAAGCACTGTCAACTTGCCGCTTGAACCATTCAGCACTTTGGTTGTTTTCAGTAACAATAGCATCAGTATGAGCACTTCCATGCTTATGAATATGATTAATAGCTTCATTAATATTTGGTACAACTTCAATAGTACACTCAAGAGCACCATATTCCGTCCTCATACTCTTAGCAGCGGGAGGCCCGAATGTCAAAAGCTCCCTTAACCTTGGTCCCGCGTTAATTTTAACCTGGAAAGAAAAAGGCAAACCAAAATTATACTGGAAACTTTGAACAGTCCTCGATAAACTCTCTATAAACTCCCATTAACTCGAGTAAACTCGAGAATAATCGAGAATTTAAACTCTCCATTAACTTACACCTTCCTTACGAAGCATATTGCAAACATCCGTAAAGAAATTACCCCTCATAAGTTCTTCATGAATCAGCAGTGTCTCCATAGCATTGCAAGCTGCTGGATAATCGCACTTAGAGTCTCTAATAATAGCAATCGCCTTATCTGGGTCAGCGTCTGCATCAACATAGACATGGCAAATTCCTTCCGCGTGACCAAGAACAGGAATATGCTTTGACTGCTCCTGGATGGTCTTGACCAGCTCGGAACTACCTCTAGGAATGATAAGATCGATGTGTTTGTCCATCGACAGCAAGTCTCCAACTTCTTCGCGAGTTGAGACCAAGGAAATAGCATTAGCTGCACCTACCGACCTCAACGCTTCTTGGACCAAATTCATAAGACACTTGTTACTAAACTTGGCCTCTTTTCCGCCCTTGAGAAGCAACCCGTTAGCACTGGAGATTGCTAACGCTGCTACTTGTGGCAAACTGTCCGGCCGAGATTCAAAAATCACCAACAAAACACCAATAGGCACTGTAATTTGTTTCAATTCCAATCCCTCAGCAATCTGAGTGCGTCTCAGCACTTTTCCGACGTTAGTCAGAGATTCCGCAGCAATCTGACGTAATCCCGAGCTGAGGGACTTCAATTTCGCTTGGCTTAATGATAACCTCAGCAACAGAGGCTTGGCTAATCCAGATTTAGTAGCCTCTTCAAGATCTTTGGCGTTAGCAGCCAGAATTTCATTCTGTCTCGTCTCTAACAAATCCGCTAAAAAATTAATACAAGAGGCACGTTCTTCAGGTTTAAGAGCTTGAAGAAGTCTACTTCCAACTCTCGCGTTCTCTGCGACTATTTCTATCGGCGTTGACGAAGTTGATGTCTCCGTGAAAAAAGTACCTACTTTACGACCATTGAGGATACTCTTTATGGCCTTCTCTTGTGCGCCGTTGCAAATAACAACTGAGACACCTCGATCTAGCGCCCACAAAGCAGCCGTTACTTTTGAGTCCATGCCACCGGTTCCGACTTTAGACTTTTCTCCAAACTTTATCGTTTCCCTCTGGTCCGAGCTAAACGTATGAAGCAATTTAGCACCGTCTTCCCAAGGTGGAAGGTTATAAATTCCGTCAACGTCGCTCATCAGGATCAGCAAATCGGCTTGCACACCAGCTGCCAGCATAGCAGCCAGGGAATCGTTATCTTTTATTGATATCCCTCGTCTACCATGCAAACCACCAACTTCTTCATCAGCTTGATGAGGCGGTGACACAGCATCGTTTGTGTTTATAACTGGCACAATATTAAGGCTTATCAATTCGCTTAGAGTATTAAACAAATTTTTACGTGTTTCTTCATTAAAAAAATCCGTTTTTGTTACCAATACTTGAGCAAGTTTAACGCCGTACTGTGCAAACATTGCGTCATACAATGACATAAGTCCTGATTGCCCTACCGCAGCAGCTGCACGAGGCTCCAATAGATTTCCTAAAAAATTGCAATGACATTACTTATCAAATCTGCAATCTATTTGTGATAGCAAGCTCAAAGATCACTCTTATCTTACCTACATGCTTGCGCGTGTGATCAAGTGGACTAAGTGTCTCGCGCATTGATAAGGACATCAACAATTCCTGGGTTAATTTCTGTTTCCCAAAGGCCACTGCTCCACTTGTCACCATTATGCATTCGCGGCCTTCGATCTGACATTCTGCGACTTGTTCCACAATTGATGCAAGACGCCCCAATGCGAATCCTTGCTCATCTTCTCGGGTGATTACGGCGCTACCCAATTTCACAACAAGACGCCGGGCGTATTTAAACTGATTTCTGTCAGTAAATGTCGCTTTACGAGGTTGTTCCGCTGTTTGGACTTGACGGTGCAAATCTGTACGATATGCCTGGAAAATAATAGCAGCTGGTTAAATTAAAGTGGCATGTGAAAGACATCTACCATTCCCTAGGGGAGCGTTATTGATTTCTTTGCACGCTTTATTCTCTGAAATTTTTACACAGAATAAGGTTAACACATGGTCGGCTAGGACTAAAGAAAATGTATGTTTTGCAAAGCTTGTTGAGGAAAAAAATATTTAAAAATTACTTACTAGCTTTTTATTGGGCACCCATGCCCAATTTGAAGAGCAGACGGATTGGAAATATTTTTTTATCCTTGGACATTTTATTAACAAATTCGTATACATTTCTACACTAAGTATAAAAAATATATAAATATGTGGCTATTTCTAAGGATACTGATAAACTAACGCACAACTTGGTAAAAAAAAAAATATTTCCGACGATCGAACAATAATCTACTGAAGCTACGATATTGCCAGCAAACGCTTACTGCACCGAGGGGGAGACCTCCTTATCGGTATCGAAACGTAGATTACGAAGTAAAGTGCAAATAATTATTTATTTATTATTTTATCATTATTTGATTCATTGTTTGTTTTTTTTTTTATTTCTTACGATTAATTTGTAATCTAATGACAATGTAAGTCGCTAACCCGTGAATCGTAAGACGTTAACCTATTGATCTCAGAAAAGATATCAGGAAGCTTTTTAACAAAGAAATTGTTTTTTTATCGAGAAAATTGTTGATTGATTAAGAAATGTTTATTTATTGGAAGAAATGATCGATGTTGAAAAATTGATCATTTATAGGCAAAACAGCGAAAAAATTTTGAAAAAAATAATCGATCTTTTTTGTATCACGGCAATAGATGAAAAAAATGAATTTTTTTATGATAAAGTCTTTTTGATGAAGTATTTTAAACAAATAAGCTTTAATGCATCAAATATTGATCAGTCGGTTTGAGCTGCTTACTTTTATAGCGGCTTTGATGCTCTTGATAAATATGCCACTTGCGAATTTGCGTTATTAATCTTTTTCATATCAACTTGAAAGCCCAATCGAATATTCGGATTTTATGTTAAACAATAAAGTAGTTTTGAGGTTTCACCAGTGAATGAAATTTTTTTATCAATGAAATATGCATGCAAAAAAAAACGGAATATTGATTTTTTCACGGTGAGCAGTCGTCGGTAACTATTGTGGTTTTAAAAATAATTCCAATATTCGAAACTATAAAATAACTAGCGGACCCGACAGACGTTGTCCTGAACACACGTATTAAATTCGAAAATTTTAAACTTTTTTGAATAAACTGTAACAGTTCGGACCGTTTTGATGAAAATTTTCTCTAAAACGTTATTACAATGTAATATTTAAATTAGCACGTGACTTATTTTCACATAATAACACAAAATTTCCTAAATCTAAAATTAAAATGAAATATTTTTGAATATTCGACACTGTGATCGCAGTGCTATGTGTCGGATTCAATGTAAATCATTCCAAGATCAACAACAATTTGTAATGTTATGTCCGCAGTGGACAATATTTTTAATGTAATTTATTCGGTCCTAATCATTCGTCTAATAGACAGGGGACGTAGAAGATATTGATGAAGGGATCTAGTAAATTATACACATCTTTAGTTTTAGACTATTTATTGAAAAAGGAAGACTCAAATTAGAACGTCTTCGTTCTGTGGCTAACTCGTAACTGAATTCTTTTTTCGTAACATCAAGCTCAAAAGAAAAGGGTGTTGCCCAAATTCATACGTTAGGTGGGAGATACAAACCAATTACAATTTTCCTTGAATTTCTATATTCCCCCTCTTACGTTTCCCTTTTTACAATAATTTTACAGTTCATACGTTTTTTTCTTATATTAGAGTTTTAGATTTGTTAAAATTGAATTATTTATTCATTTTCATCAACTATTAATTTTTTTTGTTCGTTAAATTTATTCATTACATTTATTTTTCGAACTTATTCAATTTGTTAAATATAGTTCATCCTTTAAACTTATTTTTTTTAAATTCTTTTATAAAATATTCTGAATCTTCTTTGATCTGAAATTTTCGTTTATTATTTATTCAAAAGTTTCTGTAATTCGTCAATGTTTAAATTATTATTCCATAAATTTATTTATTAGAATTTTAAAGTTATTAATTTTGTATTGTAATAATTATCAATTTTACTCTTACTTTCATAATTTTATTATCATTTTTTTTTTCTTTCTAATTCTGTTTTTTCATAGTTCTATTTCCTTATAAATGTTATTTAATATTTAAAATACCTTTTTTTTTTTTTTTTCATATTTAGTGATATTTGATTTCAAAGCGACGAGTTTTTTTTTTTCTTGAATGATGTTTTCATAAAGGCACTGTAGGAGGCCAACGATAAAGCCAGCTGCAGCTTACTTAGGCTTCAGACTATATTTAATCTCAATGGGCCTTCTTAGAAACCCATACAAAAAAAGAGTCACAAAATAGAAAATAATATTTCCGTTGCATAGAAAACTGAAATAAAAATAAATTTACAAAATCGGAGAAACCTTTAACATAGTCAGTCTATTTGAGCCCAAAATCCTTTTTTTTTTATATCTATCTCAGAAAACAAATTAATTTTGTTAAGTTTATCTATATGCATATAAGCGAAATACCACTGACTCATCACTAGATCTCCGAAGCTATTGGACCGATTCATTTAAAATTTAGCATAGGTACTCCTTTTTCAACGTAGACGAGAGATAATAAGGGATTTTACGAAATTCCTAGCCAAAATGGATTTTTCGTCAACCATCACGTATGCTACCCCCTACCCTCCCTCTCATTCTTTCCCACCCCTTCCGTGCCCTATCACCTTCTTCCCCCTTCCCTATCTCTCTCTCTCTCTTTTTTTAGGGGAAAATATCATTTTGTTTCGCCAATCTAAGAAACCATCAGTGGCGCCCATCAATTATAGAACTCAACCCCACCCTACCCCCCACAACCACCTACGCTAATCAACCGTTGCCATGGTTACCGTGTTGCCATGGTTACCGTGTTGCCATGGTTACCGTGTTGCCATGGTTACCGATCCCATGGGTACCGTTTCTATGGTTACCGTTGCCATATTGATGTTAATTTTCAGTCAAATTAATATAATTACATCGTTGTTTATATTCTAAAATAATATGTGATGAATTTCATAATCTCATTACTAATGTTCATATTTTTATAGAAAATGGCGCTGAGATAAGAAATAATAATCTGAATTAACAATCTTAATAACGTTATTGAAGTTGGTGCTTGGACAAAAGAATAATAACATATTTATTTATGTAATTTATTAACAAATTCAGAGCTGTAAAAACAATTATTTTATAGATAAAAAGCGATATAATTTCGTTAATATTGTTCAAATTAATCATTTTGTTTATATTTTTCGTCTAGGTTACACAATAGAATTTTATTGCATGCCCAGCGAAGCGGGCGGGTATCAGCTAGTATGCATATAAAAATTAACCAAAAAAATTTAGGAAAACGGTTGACCCTGAAGGCCATCCCTGCAACTTCCCGCTAATTCCATACCTAGGCGCTTAATATTGCAATTATGATGTTTTTGAGCTTTTCAAGCTCAAAAATAAAATTTATGTATTATTTTAAGCTCTCTGAGCTTAAAGAGATAGCTTTCCTATGCTTTTGAAATCTTTGAGCTCAAAAATCTTATCAAAGTTCGATGAAACACGATTTTTTTAATTATCAAACTGCTATAACTTTTGAATGAATCAACCGATTTTCATGTGGTTGGCGGCGATCGATGTAGTTTTTTAAGCTTTATAAAAAATTTAGAACAAAAAATATTGATCTGATGAAACGTTTCGGAGTTATTACAAAAAAACACTTTTTTCGATTTTTTTCGACAACGATATCTTACAAACGCATCAACCGAATCTGACGCTCTAGGTGGCGATCGATGTGGGTTTTCAAGGTTAAGAGCTGATTAGTTTTTGCGTTCGATCGGTTCAGCTAATTCGAAGATATTTAAAAAAAATTAAGAAAAAACAACTTTTTTTTCACTTTTTTTTGCAATTTCTCGAGATCTACTGGTCCGAATCGGTTCCAACTTACAGGGAATCTACGTTTGGCGAAGACCTTTCGAATGACACCAACTGCGATCAAATCGGTTTAGCCGTTCAGAAGTTATAAGAGGTTTACATACACATACACACGCGCGCACACGCACACGCCCGCACACACACACATACACACACACACACACACACGCACAGACATACAAACGTGGGGATATCATCGTGAAAATATTCAGGAAAGCTTCTTAGGGCTTCAAAACGTCAAGATCTGTTGAAACCTCGATTTTTGCAAAACGGGGTAAAACCAATAGCTTCCCGATTTTTCGAAAATCTTCGATTTTCTTAGTGGGAAGTTAAAAAAATAAAGAACAAGAAATGTACACGCTTTTCGGGCGGACATAATAGTAAATAAAAAATTAATTAATTAAACATTTTCCAGTGGACTGAATTATATATATAAAGATTTAGATTGAATTATATATTGAATTATATTTATATAAAGATTTAGATTTTTTTTTTCCTAAATTTTGAGTTTGTTATGATTTTTACGTGAATAAATTTGACTTGCCGCCTTTTTCAATGACGCTTTACATTTTATATTTTAATAAGAAGGAGGTATACCCACATCAAAGCTTGCAACATGAAAAAATCCATAATAGCCTCCGATTCATTTCATTCAGCTTACTGATGAAGGGCTAAGGGCTATTAATAGAGCCTGCAAGTTCATTCAAATGTTAAATTGAAAAGCCTTCTCCTGGGTTTGGACGATTTGATGCCTAAAAACAAGGAAATAAATTTTGATCTAGGTATATCCATAGATCAACGTATGCGGAAAAAACAAGATTTAACTGGTTATAATGAAAGAAAAGTGCATATCTAGCTGAATTATAACGTAATAAGGATAAAAATATAGTTTTCTGAACTTTTTTTTTTTGTAATTACTTGAACTATGCATTAGTTGAAGTAACTATTGATAAATAGTTATATGGACTATTTTTTAATAAATATTTTTCTGTTATCGCGTTAAAAAAAAATTATTAAGTGACTGAAAGGTTTTTATGGATAATGTTTCAGATAACTTATTTGGAAGAGCCTTTGGTGCATAACCAATCGATCCGGTTTCGATTCCCGGTCCGGGTTGTTCGAATTATTTTTTCTGTTTTCTGAGTTAAAGTGAATTAATATGACTATTAAGCTCATATTTAATTCAAAATAGTTTAAATAATTATGTATTGGGGTTCAATATAATAAATAATTTTATTATTGACTCGTCAAGGTCAAGC